CCTCTGAAGGTAGGAGGGGAGGCAGTTTTTCAAGAGTGAACCTTTACGTCAGAGTCTGATGCCATCTCTGGGTAGGGAGTGTCAGAATTGAGTTGAATTGTAAAACACCAAACTGGTGTCCTGAGAGTTGCTTGTTGGTGTGGGGAATCCCCTGCCCGCCCCCCTACCTTGACCCATTAGAATTAATACCAGAACTTACGTACCTCACATAGGCCCTGTCTCGAAGTAACATCAAGATGGGGATTAAGCCTATAACTTTTTAGTTTGGGGGAGAACTATTCCATCCACAGCACCAGGTGAAGAACCCTAGCTTAGGAGATGGTCTTCTGCAGAGCTTTGAATCAGCCCTACTCAGCTCTTCCCCACCAGGAGTAGGGGAGTCTGGGAGGTCTTAGCTGCGTACTCCAAGCCCCAGATACTTCCCCCTGCTGGTACTCACTTTTTTTTTTTTTTTTTAAAGATTTTATTTATTTGTCAGAGAGAGAGAGAGAGACAGCGACAGCGTGGGCGAGCACAGGCAGAGGCAGAGGGAGAAGCAGGCTTCCCGCCAAGCTAGGAGCCCGATGTGGGACTCGATCCCAGGACACAGGGATCATGACCTGAGCCAAAGGCAGCTGCTTAACCAACTGAGCCACCCAGGCGTCCCTGGTACTCACTTTTGATGTGCTGTTCGAGTACAGGAGACCAGGAGATGGTGAGCGTTTGCTGTAAAGGGCCAGATACTATCTGTCAAAATGACTCCATTCAGCCAGAGACAATATGGAAACAAATGGGCACGGCTGTGTTCCAATCAGATGTTTTATGGGTACTGAAATTTGTTTCCTGTAATTCTCATGTGTCATGAAATATTTTTCTTTTTAAGAATTTCAGCCATTTAAGAATGCAAAACCCATTCATAGCTAGCATACTGTATAAAAACTGACCATGGGCCCGGTCTGGCATGGACCACAGTCTGGTGGCCTCTGTTCTGGATGACAAGTTGCTTAAAGGCAGGAGCTGTATGTTGGTTTTCTATCCCTTATATATTGCACCAGTGTTGGCTAGATATAAATAAATATATATAAAATAAGTATGGGCTGAATAAATATTTGAGATTGTAAGTGTTGTATACCCACATATGCTTTCTCAGTATTCATCCAAAATTTGAACTGAACAGTGGGTGGATTCCCCACTGGAATTTAAGCCAAGCCCAGACTGGTGACTGTGTCTAGCAGTTTTGTGGCTCTCCCCCATAGTAATCTTTGTGTCCAGCAAATTCAAGGCTATTTGAAGGTGTTCTTGATGGACTCCTACACTTGGAGATCTCAGAGGAATGGGAACTGGCCTGAGTTCCATGTGGCCTTAAACTGAAGAAATGATCACTGTTTCAGCAGAGTATTTTAGATACATACTTGAACAGAAAGGAAACTCCATTCACAACACTTTCTCTGCTTAATGCCCTTGAGACTTACATGTTCAACAACTGTAATCATGGTGAAAATCACAGGAACTTTATTTTTCAAGTGCTTATTCCCTACAGAGATGAATACACCACTTAAAATCAGAGGTACATGGAAAGATTTTTTTAAATTTTTTTTTTCAAATGGTCTGTAAGGTATGGAAGTGAGACTTAACACTCGAGCCTTCTCTGAAGAAGAAAGACGTTAATCACAACTCGAATATAACCACCTTCTTGGTAACAAGGCAAGGTGATTATTTGTCATGCTTGCCCACCTGTGAAATGCTAACTTGACTAATAGGTTTATCGGCTGAATACAGAAAAGGTTTTGGCATCTCGCCCAAGGTCATGGACAAATTTGCAATCTCGTCAAGCCATGTTCATTATCATGCAAAATACCTGAAACCTTTTTTACAGGTAGAGACATTCCAGTAGCCCATGTAAATGGGAATCAGAAGATAAAATGGAATTACTGGATTCTGTGAAGTTACTTTTAGACCTTCTCTTGCAATACATGGATTCAGAGGCCTGATTAAAATATCTAAACCGAATTAATGTAACCTGAGAGGCCACCTAGGCTTGCTTTTTTCCTTAGGTGAACTTTATGTACATAAGTTGCATTAATTAGGCAGATAGACCGAATACTTATCAAGTGAAAAGCTAATTTCTTGAGTGGGGAGAAGTTACAAGAAATGAGACATGGACTTTTCTCTGGGGGTAATGTACAGACTTACTTGAGGAAACAGGATCCAGACATAGCAGAGAGGATGAACCGTAGTGAGAACGTGCTCTAGACGGGGACACAGGCAGGGCAGAAAGCTGGCTCATCAGGAGGGACCTGGGACACAGCCTGGCCTCCAGGTATGAATTAGGACTCAGACTGTTGCAGATAACTTGGTCACAAGCTATACAAGCATACACACACACACACACACACAACTGACCCTCCTCACTTAACTCCTGAGTACCGTGACCTGTCTTGGTACCTAATCCTCCTTGTTGGAAACTGTGATCGCTGCACATGGGCAGAACCGTTTTCTCCGTTTGGGTCCTATTCCCACTCTGCCTCCCTGTTTTTACATAAAGTGTCATTTGGCTGCAGGGCTCTGTTTTCTGCTTGACTTGGGTGCTTCCGAACCCAATTTCTGCCCCTCCTCGATTAGTCTCCATCAGCTATCCCTGTGATGCTATCACTCAGTGTATACGAGCCTGTGATAGAAATTTTTATATAGTGCCACCGGAAGGATGCCGGTGAAGTCTGTCCACAGGACAGAGCCCTCTCAGGCAGGCATCCCTGACTTCCGTAGACCGTCTACTTCTAGTCAGTCCTTGAATGTGCAGTTCAGGATGCATATCCTTAATAGTACAACTGTTTGCATCACCACTATTTTTAAAATAAGGTTAGTGTATCCTAATTCATCCTTTGGAGGAAGTCTTTGTATAGTGGAAATACCCAGGAACCGTTAGGAATGATGAAGACAGAATTGTTTTTTGTTTTTTTTTTCTTACAAGCATTCAAACGTTTTTGATGTATCTATGGTATTTTTTTCAATTCTGCTTTTTTTCTTTATTTGATTTTAAGATCTATAGTAACCTTCTGTTGGTTATCACACAAATCCCTGCTTCCTCTGCCTGGCTTCCAGGCCCCCCTTGCCCCACAGTAACCTCTCAATTTATGGAGCAACCCCAGGGTACCTGGGCGGCTTGGTGGGTAAAGTGTTGCCTTCAGCTCAGGTCATGATCTCAGGGTCCTGGGTTCGAGTCCCTCATTGGGCTCTCTGCTCAGCAGGGAGCCTGCTTCTCCCTCTGCCTGCTGCTCCCCCCTGCTTGTGCTTTCTCTCTCTGTCAAATAAACAAATTAAAAAAAAAAAAGATAAAGACCATCTCTGCCTTTTCAGGCCATGGTATCCCTGTCTGGACTCCCCGGCCCAGGCCCCTTCCCAGTCCTGGTCTTGTGCTCTCCCCACCCCGATTTCCCCTCCTCCACCTCTCCCCCAGCTCAGCTCCTGTCACTTCTGAAAGACACTCCTTCTGGTAAATCTTTTCCTAAATTGGCAATCCTTCGAGGTCATGTCATCCAGTCTCGGGGTTTGTCTCAAGTGAACAGGTATTCTGGAAAGGCGCCTGGGTTGAGCTGAGGAGCTAGAATGTAGCTGGAGAGCACCTGTGCCATGAGCTTTACTTTTGATGATGGTTCATTTTTAAAGGCTGCTTGGCCCAGAGCCATGCATACACCAGCCTTTGTGGCTTTGTTCATTTTCTCATTAACTGAGCACCTTTAATTCTCCAGTAAAGAGCAGGCTAAGGGACAAGTCACGTTCTAGTTTCTTAGCGTCACACAGTTCTGCGAGGAAATTTTAGGTAAAACTCAAAGATAGGGCTTTACTCTAGAATATGGTATTTCCTTTTTTATCTTTCCCTCCATTGCTCCGTGTTACTCAGTGTCCCTCCCCTTGTGTCACACCTGCAGCCTAATACTCTGCCCCCCTCGCCTACACCCAGATCTCCATCCATTACGTTCAGGGGGCTTAGTGAGAAAATTGTCCTCTTCAATTTTTCCACATTTGGCTCACTAAACTATAAACTGTCTCTACTCCCTTGTCTGGCTCCAACCCCTCCATCGTCCTTACCTACCCCATCCCCCACGGGTATGTGCTGTGAATTGGCTTGCTTCATTTGTGTGTTAAAGTATTTCTTATTGTGAAATTTTGCAAACATATATAAACAGAGAGCATAGTACATTAAGCGTTTTGTATGCCCACCACACAGATTGGGGTGTGGAGACTTTTAGTGTATTCTTCTAAAACCTAAGCTTACTTATCTCATGATATCAACCTGTTACCCTATAGCGTCTTTTTCCAAAACTTGTCTCTTAGTAGATCAAATGGTTGTAATAGATCAAACGATGAACTTCATGGTATTCTATTTCAACATGGTATTCTATGTCGCTTAAGATCTCCTATTATTGTTAAAGACCATGTACATATGAGAATAGAAATTAAAATTCAACAAACCTATCTACTAGAAATTCACAGGACAACTTTGGGCACAGGTTAAATTTGCAAAAATAGGTTTCATGTAGAAAGCACTGTGCATTTATTTCTACTTTATTAAATTCACCCCATTAGCCTGAAGACTGAGTTTTCACCTCTACTTTTTACAGTGAAAACGTGATCATTTGAGTCATGAACACCATTCTGGGTAATTCCCAGGGAGTGTTATTAATTGTGAATCTTTCTCTCCACATGATTTTTGCTCAGGTAGTCTTGAAATCACAAAAATTTTTCAGCGTGTACTTGGGCATTCCCATCCCCTAAGGACAGAAGACCACCAAGAATCTTCCTATTAGGTAATAACACTAAAAGGAAAATTATGAACTACATTTTACCTTGTAAGAATACGTGGGTCCTTAATGAAATAGGACAGCGTGATGGTATCAGCTGTAAATGAAGGTTCAGGCTCCCCAGGACTCTCCTGGGTCCCTTCTCTCTTCTGCGTGATGTGGTTCATGGTTGAAGTTGTCTAATTTTTTTCCCTGTTATTTTCTTTTTCTCTCCTCCAGCTCTTGTAAATGTGAAACTCTGGGCCATTGATCGACAATGTTTTCAAACGATCATGATGAGGACAGGACTCATCAAGCATACCGAGTATATGGAATTTTTAAAAAGGTAAGATGCTTGATTTTCTTCTACCTAGGTTGCTAATTGTCTCTCCAACCCTCTTCTCAGACATGCAGCCCAGGGAAGGCTTTTGCCTTCTTTTCAAGCTGAAGATTGCAGGTTGGTGGAAGCAATGGGCTTCTTTGTTTCTGGTACTAGTTTCCATGACATGGTCAGATTAAGTCAGATCTTGAGAGTTTCACCAAACATTCTGAGGGAGGAGTGAGGCTCAGAGGAACAAAAGAGAATTTGCTTGAACAAAAAAGGGGATTGGAGTCCATCCCTAACTATTTATCAGTTAATATGTCTGTGGACCCTCTTCTGATTAAATCCTCTCTTGTGTAAAATTCCGTGTTAAAGGTCAGATGACGAAGATGGAAAAGTTCCAAGGTGAAGCTCATTATCCTTTAATCCCGAGTTTAATTTCCCAAATTAAATGTGTTTTATGTTTTAGTCCTGAAATATCAAAAGCTTTTCTTGATACAGGGTATTATAATTCAGTATAGCATGGAAATTGGAATGAGAAAACAGCTTTTCATTTCTGAGGAATACGCTGATATTCACTGAAATGTCTGTCTTTGCCTCTAAGCTTCATTTAAAGAAAACACATGATATCATTAAAAGGAATATTGACAACTTTTTTTCCCAATAAAGTAGCGTGTTTTCTTTTTTGAAAACTGAACCATCTTTAAATAGTGATAGATTGTTTGCTAAAGAGATGGTGTAGTGTCGCTTAAGATCTCCTTTTTCAGAGCTAGAATATTAAACCAGCTTTCTCATTTAATATGTTCTTGGTGAAGAAATGGTTTTAGTGGAGCTAAAAAAAAAATTAAAATCCCATTTCATTTCAGTGATACATCATGATAGGTGTCAGTTACATTTTCTTAGGCAGTTTTAATAGTGTGTACTTGAGTATTTTATGTAATTTATTTCCTGATTGATTCTTCATACATTTTTCATTTTCACATAATTCCTTATATTCCTGCTAAAGGGACAATAAAATTCTAAGTTGATATCAAGTAATAATATATTAAAATATAACTATCAATAGAGGGTTGGGATTTTTCTGGAACATGATTGGGTGAAACCCTTAGAATTAGAAATGTAGATTTCAGTTTGGAGTTGAGTACAGCTTGCAAGGAAATTATTCAGGTGCTGTGTGTGCATGGGTGTGCATATGCGTGAGTACGTCAATACAGAGGTGTGAATATATTGGTATGTGTGCGGGGCAATAGAAAGAGAACAGAGAGACCAAGATAGACTGAAGAAATAAAAACTTGAAAAATGTAAAATCCAAGTGCAAGTTACTGTTTTCTGATGCAGCCCTAATAGAGAAAGATCCCAAGTGGTGGTTGTAAAATCTTCACCTGGGGGGTGGAGCCTGTTCTGTCTCATGGACCAAAGCACTGGGCACTCGGAATGTAGGTTTCCACTTCCGTAGTTTTGTTGTCTCAAAGAAATGGAGTAAGTGTCCGTGCTCTCTACCATGACCCACAAGAACTTTTTTAGAGGTGCTCAAGTTCAGGCGATAAAGTCTCACTGTGTTGGTATTGGTGTTACTCTTCTGAACGTGCATATACTTTGATTTTTGTGCTTTCAGAGCTGTGTCCCTTGTTTATCTGCTCTGACAGTTCAAACCTTCAGCAATAAAGGTTGGTTCTCCAGAGTGTGGAAACGCATCTGGTTGGCCAGTTAGAGCAGATGACATCTAGCTGGTTGGATGAGAGGTAGGCATGGGCTGGTACTTTCCCTGCAGCAACTCTGCAAAGCATAAGGTCCCTGTCATTTGTGAAGACAGCACTGGGCTGGGAGCCCAAAAAGGGGACGCAGGGACCAGTGTTGGCCTTGGGCTGGCTTTCATCTTCCTAAGTGATGACTGTGGCTACCTGGTTCTCTCTAACCTTCCGGTGGCTCACTGCTGCTCTTGAATTATGCCCAGCCTCGTTAGCTGGATATTCAAGGCACTCCCACAGCCTCCACTCCTGCCCTTCCAGCCTGGGGTCTTCTCGCAGTGGGCAAACCCAACAGTTGCATCTGCCCAGGTCCCTCAGTCCCTGTGCTTTCAGACAGCTCACTACCTCTGTGCCCTGTTCTTTGTTCTTCCCATTAGTGTTCAAGTTGTACTATTTTTTAAGATTCAACCAAAAGCTGCCTCTTCCGCAGATTAACTAACCTCATCCAACCAAGAAGTAATGTTTCCCTTGTTTGAGCTTCATCTCTACCATGTGTCTCAATCACCCTGTTTTATTATAATCAAATTACTAAACTCCTACTTCTAGGCTATAAACTTCTCCTAAGCATCTTAGTATTCTTCTTCAGTGCAAAACTTTATTTTGTAGATAGGTAATTTATAGGACTATAAGGATGGGACCAGTACACATTTTTCAGAGCCCAAAGACAAAGGGAGTTGAGGACTTCTTAAAAAAGAAAATAGAAGTTAAAAATGTCCAAGACTGTGACAGCATAGTATTAAACCAAGCATAGGCATCTTCTAAGCTTGGGCCCTGTACTGTTGCACAGGTTGTACATTCCTGAAGCTAAATGAGTAAATAATACTCCTCTCTCTTTCACATTCCCAGGTTAACTATACTTGCTACCATTTACTTTGCAGGGCAGTTACAAGTTGTGTATAACACCCAAAAGGAAATATGGATACATAAAAAACTTAGATGACCAAACTTAATTAAAATTTCCTATCATAACTTAATAGTTTTTTTTTTTATTTCCTTACTTTTTTAAAGATTTTACTTGTTTGAGAGAAGAGTACAAGTAGGGAAGAGGGAGAGGAGAAGCAGACTCCCCAGTGAGCAGGGAGCCTGATGTGGGGCTCGATCCCAGGACTCTGGGATCATGACCAGAGTGGAAGGCAGTTGCTTAACTGACTGAGACACACAGGTGCCCCTATTTCCCTATTGTTTTTAAATTCACTTATTTTATATCATGTAAAATTTTAAATTTTAGGTAGTCAAGTCAATCAGATTTTTCCTTTATGACTTCGTGTATAGAAAAGCTCACTTAATTGTATTAGAAAAATATGACTTAATACTTTGAGGTTCTCTGTGGCAAACTGTGTGTTTGGGGGGGGGGGCTGTTTTCCTCTAATGTGCTTGCTAAATCATTCAACTCCAGTTTTCTACCATAGTTACTGTATACTGTGTATTTTGTTAAGGAGTTAAAGCAATTGCGATAGTGGGAAAATAACCAATTGGGCTGAAAGGAGATGATCCCTGGTCACTGCTCCTCTCCCCGTGCCACTCTTGCTCTTCATTTTCCTAAACAAGCAATAGGTTTAGAGGGTGGGGAAAGGGGACACACCAGGCATATAGATGGACTGCCAAAATGCAAAGATTTTTCTTAATTGTCAAAATTGGCTCTTATTTTCATTCCAGTGCCTTTACCCATTTTGCGGCTCTCAGTCTTGGGTCTTGCTTGGTTCCTTTTCACTTTTAAATGCCACAGCAAACTCCGATTCTACATCTTTAATCGTATTTAGTCATTTCTCTTTTATGCCTTTTTGACAGTCCCCAATGCAAACACAGATGTTCCTCTGCAAGCCTAGCACACACAAAACAAAAACAAAAACAAAAAAATTCAAATGGGAGTGCTGAGAAGTAGGGCATGATTAGTCTAGGTCCTGCAGTGATTTTGCCAGTTGTGAGCCTTTCCATCCTTTCTGGCTACTGGAACATGGTGTTTTGTTAGATGGATTCTGAAAAATGAGCCAAATAACTGCCAGAGTTCATTTGTGTTTCCTTTTTCTGAGCATATTCTCTGCACCACTCTTGGCACTGGCTTCTCTCCCAGAGAGGCAGGAGAATATGGCTGTGTGCTCACTGGGTAGGCTTGTGGAACTGGGATGATACTACAACCATGACTGTGCACCTTTATTGATGTCACATGCCTTACTGAAAAAGGAGAGACAGGGACCACTTGGAATTCAGACTCCTGAGTTGACCCTGTTCATCCTCAGAAAACATAGTCTTTATTCACTAAGGGATCTTGGTAAGGCAGGTGGGCTCATATCCTCTTTCTGCACAAAGCCTTTGCATGGCTTCTGAGCACCCCCAAGATAAAGCCTGGGTCTTTGAAACCCTGCCTTCCAGGGCTGCTTCTGGCCTTCCCTGATTCTTAGCATCATCCCTCTTCTTCATTTTCTCTTTCTCTCTGCTCCAGTCCTGGAGTGGCCTATCAAGGCCCCCCCTGCCTCTGTGTGCCATGGCCCCTCGCTGCAGAGCTCAGCCTGGGATTCCTCACCCTTTGAATGGATGTATTTCCCAGGGTGATTTGTAGTAAGGTGCACATAGTATGGCTGGTGAGGCATGAAAAAACAAATCTGATTCTCCCTCAAACAATTAGAAATCTCTGATTTGCCTTTTCTGAGGTGAAAGAGTCATTGAGGGTACTAGCCACCAAGTTTCGTGTTCTATTCTCCATAAACTGAATTGTGAAGTTGGGAGATTTTGAAGGTCTTTGACTTTTTGGTTCCCAGTGGACTCTCTAGTCATAAAGAACTTGGAGGTATTTTTCAATTAAAGCTAACAGCTTGGATCTTTAGGCAGAAGGGGTAGAACTTCTCCAGGAATTCCTGATCAGTGGAAGCTAAGTGGTAACAGTCTGAAGTGATGGCCGCTGTGTGGGCCTTAGGGACATACACGTTTGGAGTCAACTTCACGCCATCCTGTTGGTATCCGAATGAACTTCACTATGAGGATAACTTCATGTTGGGTTGGGTACATGACTTGTCTACAGTCTATACTTGGGCCAAAACATCCTGAAACTTCTTTCATTCTGGGGTGTGTTTATTACCTGGTGGTTCTGGACACCCCTGTCACCAGCAGAGGCCTGTATAATGAGGCATCTTAATCCTCTGTGTTTAATCCTAGAAGAGTTAAAAAATTAGATTCAGAAAATCTAAGACAGGATGTAACTTAATTTCTGTGCCCCACTTACAGGTGAAGAAACTGCATCTTGAACCAAAATAAGCTCATGTTTAGTTAGACCCAGCTCAG